GGGCCCGGGCCGAGCCTGGGCGACGAAGCCATCCACTGCCCGCCCTGCTCCGAGGAGAAGCTGGCGCGCTGCCAAGCCCCCGTGGGTTGCGAGGAGCTGGTGCGGGAGCCCGGCTGCGGCTGTTGCGCCACTTGTGCCCTGTCCAAGGGGATGCTGTGCGGGGTGTACACCCCCCGCTGCGGCACGGGCCTGCGCTGCTACCCGCCCCGGGGGGTGGAGAAGCCCCTGCACACGCTGATGCACGGGCAAGGCCTGTGCATGGAGCTGGCGGAGATCGAGGCCATCCAGGAGAGCCTGCAGCCCGCCGGTAAGGGGCCCTGGCCACGCAGGCCGCCCGAGTGCGCTCCCCTTCCTACAGACTGGAGGGTCCTTTCAAACCCCTTTGTGCGTAGCCGAGGAGAAGGTAGGTACGTGGCCAAGGCAGCGGGGCAGGCTCAGCCAAGGAAATGACCACGGAGTCCCTGGCAGCCTGTTGCCACCCTCCAGGGGGACTGAGTTTGTCCCTGCATCTCAGACCTCTCAAGGACGACTATTGGAGAAGGGGGTGGCCGAGTGCAGTTAGTCCTCTGCAGACCTAGTCCTAGGGCAGAAGACTGCAGGGTGGGGTGGCAGAGTGGGGGTAGTCTGCTGGGCTCAATCTAGGGACCTCGATTCACCTTCAGGAGCCTGAGGCACTAGACTTGTCAGGAGGGGTGAGAGGGCTGTGCAAATTAGAGGCGCCTAAGAATTGCTTGCCTGAGGCCCCATGCAGCTCCCCTAACTACTTGAGAGGTACTGGGGAGATGTGATCTCTTTGGCAGGCCTGGCACCTCTGCCGCGCTCCTGGCAGGTGCCATTTGAGGTGACAGAAGAGGAGCTCTTGTTGGCTCCCAGCCCAGAGGGGAGACAAAGATAGCTTAAGACAAAGAGAGAGAGATTACAAATCTCTCTGAAGGCCCTTGGGCCCAATCTCATTCTCACACTTTCACTTTCCCCTTTTCTCAGAGAGCCTCTCTTAGTTTTTACTTAAAATCTTTCTCAGTCACCCCCCCCCACCTCTTATTCTTTTGTTCTTTTCTGTTTCGCCTCTCAGCCTCTGGTTTCAGTAGCAACATTCTGGAACTCTCTTTTCCTCAATCTCTTCTGCCCCTTTTCAGTTTCTCCCTCCGATTCTGTGTTTCCCTTTCCGTCACCCTGCTTCTTCTCTCACTCTTCTCTCAGCCTCTCTCTCTGTCTCTGTCCCTGGTTTGCTCATGTCTTCTGTGCTAACTTCCCAACCACTCCCACTGTCTGCCTTTCTGCACCTCCACCTTTGTTTCTTGTCCACCCCATCCCCCACGCCCCGGTTTCGCGCTCTCTGAGCCTCTGTCTATATCCGTCTCTTTTCCTAGTGCTTGAAGCTCCCATTGTTGCAGTCCGGATGCTGGGACTCTGGCCCGAGCTTCCTGCCCTCGGTCCCAGACTGCTCCACTTCCTCAATCCTCTGCAGCTTGTTAGCTGGAGGAGAGCAGGATGCAGGGAAAACAGGAAGGAGGTGGACCCCAGGAGTCTGGGCTTTCGGCCTCTCTGCTCTCTCTGCCCTTCCTGCCCCTGGGCAGGAGAGATGGGTCAGCAGAAAGCGTTCTAGGAGGGCTGGCAACCTGTCCCCCTCTCCGCCTCCCCCACCCCTCCCCGCAGCACCTCTGGGAGAGGGGCTTGAAGGGAGTATGTTACTGACCGTGGGGCAGACCAGACCAGACTGAGAGTGAGGGCTGAGCCCTCTCTGAGAATCCAGGCCTACTTTCCTTTTGTATCTCCATCCTCCACTGGCCCGTTGGTATCTGGTACCAGGTAAGGATGATTGGTGGCCTCATCCTCTCTTACCACCTTGAACCTGGGCAGAAGAGTTATCAGAAGGTCTTGGACACTCCTTATACCCCAACTGGGTAGATACACCCCATCCTGAGGCGGAGGACAATCTGTTTCCCTGGGGTTCTTGGAGTGCAGGTCACAGCAGTTTGTGGTTGCCCTGTGCACCATGCAAACCTAAGGATGGGGCATCTTTAGGTTCCCTTGGCCAGGAGCCCTGGTGGCACAGTGGTGACGTTACACATTGGGCTGCTCATCGCAAGTTCGAAATCACCTACCACTCCGAGGGAGAGAGGCGTGACCGTCTACTCTAGTAACGAGCTACAGGCTCAGAAACCCACAGCAGCAGTTCTACCCGGTCCTATAGGCTCTCTATAAGTCAGAGTTGACTCGCTGGCTGTGAGTTTGGAGTTTTTTATTTTAGGTTTCCTTTGGACTACAGCGCCCAGATCTCGCACAACCCCCCTTCCTTTCTTGCCTTGTCCTCCCCCCATGCAGGAGTGCAGCTATCTGGAGGGGGGTGGGGAACCCTGGAGGCCTCTGGAGGTACTAGATACTTACTTGGCGAGCTCTGCCCATGCCCACACAATTCCTGTTAGTACAGAAGCTTCCCTGTCCCTGCCTGGGCCCTGTTGCACCATGCGAAAGGTGCCCCCTAGAGGTGTGCAGCAGCCCTGTGGGGTGCCTGGTGAGACAAGATGGCTTGCACTCCGCCATCTCTCCTCTCCTCTTTAGCCTTCTACTGTCAACAGACCACTGCCCCGCCAGGCCCCAAGGCCCGCCTGGAGACTCACTCTCGAATCCTTCCTTTTGCCTTTCATCTTGGGACTGCGCTGGAGGGGGTCCTTTGGTGGAAGGTAGTCACTTGTGGCACACTTCCCTTGGCTCAGCAGGGTCCACTGCCCTGGATTTGCCTCTGCCCTCTACAGTGTATACCCATCTCTACTGGCCCTCCTGCCCCCAGCTTCCTGAGCCACACAGCCAGGTTGAGGATTAACACAGTTAAGCTCACCTCACTGGAGGTGAGGAGGGATGGAGTGGGAAGTGGGGGGGGGTGGGTGTGGAGAGCTGGAAGATATGCATCAAAATTCTACAAATTCTGCATCCGTGTTGCTGACCCTGGACTCCTGGACTCTGGGACACGGGGTGGTGGGGTGGTGGTGGCAGTGGACGCGGAGCTTGGACTGGGGAGTTCCCTAACTGGTCTAGTCCCGCTGGGACAGGTTCGGGAACATACAGGTTAATTTTTAGTCAATGTGGCAAATATTGTCTCCCTTCCTTCAGTACTGGGAATCCAGTCATGTCTTGGGAACAGGGCCTTCCCAGAAATTCGGTGTCTTGGGGGAGGGGGAAGCAGGGACAGAGCTGGCACACATTCTTTCTTCAGTATTTGGCCAAGCCTGGAATCTGAGGCGCCTTTCCCTTTAAACACAGAGGAACTGAAGAGATAATAAGTCTCGCCTCCTCCTTCTGCATCCGGCAGACTCCTTTCCTCACCTGTAAAAACCCCCGGATCACAGGGCCTGACTTGGGTGGAGTGCGAGCTCCCTGAATTAGAGCTGGGATGGCGGGATGTTGGACTCTGATGCCTTTTGAAGTTGTAAACACGGGGGAAAGAGGCCCCCTTTCCTTCTCTAATTTATTAATCTGAGGCAGCAACAAAGGAGGCCCTTGCTCAGGGAGACGCCCCTGGGGCCTGGCCTTCAGCACACGTGGGCTTGTCTTCTTCAACCAGGGAACAAAGAAAAGACCTTTTTTTTTGTAGGATGGTGGTTGCCCCTCTAGGTTGTGGCTGAAATGCCTGTTTCTGGGGCTCCCTAGATCACAGCCTCACCCTGGGTGTTTTCTGGGGAGAGGGAGCCTGGGCTTGAGGAAGACTCGGGGCCGAGGTTAGGCAGCAGGAAAGAGGAAACTCTCCCCCTTTAACCAGGAACTGTGCAACTCTGGTACCAAGGCTGTGAGCCTCCTTCCTTCCCTGGTGGCTGGCTGGCAGTTGGCCTGGCTCCAAGTGGGGGGTAGGGTGGGGTGGGGATAGGGTGGGAACTAGAGAAAACGAGCTGGTCTACCTTGGAAACCCCCAAACAAGCCTTTCCCAGGCTGGACCTTTTCAGGGGGACAGGCCCTCTTCCAGCTCCTGCTCAGAGAACCTATGGCATCTGGGGTTTTTCCAGCAGGCGTTGCGTGCATGGGCAGTGCTAGAAGTCCTGCCTATGCAGGGAAGCAGCAAGTGAGCCAGCTTTGGAGCCGGGAATGTTAATATTTTCAAAAGACCCAGGGCTACGACCCTCACTGTCCCAAACAGGGCCTAGGGGTGGGTCCTGGGGCGGGTCCTCAAGTCTGCCAGCGGAGCAAGGCTGGGCAAGGAAAAGTTAACGATTAAATGGGAAACCAACAAGCCCCAGGGGACAGGGAGTCTGGCAAAGTCATTGTGCCCTACCTGGGTCTGGGTGTCTGGCGAGGGCAGGGTCAGCGTGCTCACGTGGACGAGTGTGTGTCCTCCGTACGTATCTGTGAATTGAAGGTGCCAACCTGAGTGGGTGGGTGTAGAGTGACTGTGTATCTGAGGGCACGGAGGCCGCACTCGCTAGCTCAGCCATTCTCAACCTCCTGTGGGGACCCTTTGGGGGTCAAAGGACCCTTTCACAGGGGTCGGCCGATTCATCACAGTAGCAAAATTACAGTGATGAAGTAACAACGAAAATACTTTTTTGGTTGGGGGTCACCACCACATGAAGAACTGTATGAAAGGGTCTCACGGCAGTAGGAAGGTTGAGAAGCACTGCTCTAGCTGATGTGCTCGACTCTAAGCATCGACGTGAGGGAGGGATAAGGGGCTCAGACACTGGGGAAACCTTGAAGGGAGGAGGAGTGGCAGTGTTTCCCAGACACCCCCAGAGCCCCGTGGAGCACCGATTCAACGCTGACACACAGGATTGTCGCGAGTTGGAATTGTCTCAACACAACTGGTAGAAGTGCGTCACTGTGACCTAGGGCCTTACCAAGATCAGAACAGAAGCCATGCCTCCAGGCTCACCCTGTGCTCCAGCCAGCCCTGGGTTTCCATGAGAGGACCCCCGCAGTTCTTGTTAGTGGTAGCTTCTCCATGAGATACATGCTAGGACCAGAGACTCTGATATAACCTACTGGGAAACATCAGTCTGTAAATCCCGTAGATCACCATAGTTTGATCTCACTGTGCATGGGGTCCCCATGGCATGGCGTTCTGACTGGACAACACCAGTCAGCAACTACTAAGTTAGGGGCATAAAGAGCTCAACTATCCATGAGTCATGTCCCTCGGGCTTGCATGCAGGCCAACTGTGTCAGAACACCTTGTTGGGGTTGAGCCCCTGCTCCAGGGTCTTGAGACTTAGCCTCCCCTTTGATGCCCCACACCTCTGAGGGAGAAGGTTGGCTCCATGACCCGAGGCTGCCCTCATCCCTAAAAAACCCCTCTTCTTCTTCAAGCCCAAGAACAGGCTGCCCATTTACCAAGAGATACAGGTGTCACTGAACAAAGGACAAACTCAAAGCCAAAACCCAACTCTCCCCAGGTTCAAAGGGCGCCCCCACCCCCAGCAGTACTGTCTGTGCTGTGGTCTCCCACCCTCTCCCGGTGAAGTGGCCGGGCCTTTTGTTCACATCTCGACACCGCCTCTGTGATTCCAAGACTCGGATCTCATCTAGGTTTGCATTGTCCATGTCTCGCCCTTCCCCAGTGCCAGCCTACGCCCCTGAAACTGACCTGGCCTGACCCATAGGCTTCGGGGCTTTCTTTATGCAACGTGGGCAAGTGTGAGAGTTAGTGGCCAGCCTGGGTCTTTTTGTCCAGGGGGCAGGTTCTTGGAGGGTCTCCAGGGAAGAAGCTGGATTCCCGGTCTTCTCTGTGATACCTAATGGAGGGCCCAGGGCCCTTCTTCTCAGGGTCCCCGGGGCACAGTCCTGATCTTGTGAAGGCCGCCGGCCCCTGCTTTTGCCGTGCCGCCCACTGGCTGAGCGTTCTTCTCAGAGTCTCCTCTCCTGGCTGACCTTCAGGCACTTGATGGCCTCAGTGGACTGGAGTCCTCTCTGTGGATTGTCCTTTGGGGGCTGTAAGGGTCCAGAAGCAATGATCGCTTCCAGCGTCTTCCTTTGGGATGCCTCCACCGCACCACCGGTGGCAGAAACCTTCCCATTCTGAGGGACTCGATTTTAGAAATAACCTGTGATGGGGAATCTTGAGAGAGACTTTCCGAGAAGTCTAGAGCCCTCCTTGCCTCGTTTCTCTTTGTCCCCACGCTTCCTCCACATTCCTCACACCCCACACCCCCGAACTAGAGCTAGGAGAATAAAAAGAGAAGTACCCTCCCCCACCAGCACCCGCCACCCCCCAGCTTTGGCTAGGCAGAAAAATGCCATTTGACCCAGAGGCGGCTCTGGGACGGCTGCCACTCGTGGAGGAACCTGCTAATTCCTCAGGAAAAGGATCCTGACACAAACCAGATGTCAGCTCCTGTCTGGCTGCCAACATCTGGAGTGCTGGCAAGGGCTGTGCACTCAGGCCTGTAGGGAGCTGCCAAGATCCAGCTTTGCAGAGGTGCCTCGGCCCTGCAGAGAGGTATTCCAGCCTCTTGCGCCAGCTCTGGCTCCAGCTCAGCTCCGCTCTGTGTCCCGGGGGTGGGTGGTCTGGAGGGAGGAGCGGTGGTCCACACTCTGGGACTTGTGGGTGGGTTTTGGTGGTGGTGGTGGTTCACAGGGTCCGTCCTCAACACCCCACCTCCTAGCTCCGAGCCAGAGCCATGGACCTGGGTGGGGTCTGAAGTCTGCTGAGAAGGGGGTGGGACTGCGAGTGTGCCTTGGTGGAGGCCCCCCTCCCCCACATACACCCACACAGTGCTACACACGCACTTTCACAGGCAAGCATACACACCCACTCCCACTTGTCTCCCACCCAGCCAGTGGGGAGAGCCTGTGGGCCCGGTTCCACCTCCCACATGGAAACTCTGAATCTTGCTCTTTGGAAGAGGGTCAGCAGAGAAGACAGCCTACGGATGCCCTGGCGCGCTCGGTCCAGCCAGACACAAGGCAGAGCAGGGAAAGAGACAGGAAGAGCAGACGCAGTGGGAGATCCTGAAAGGAGAGAGGGATGACGTCTGAGGTCCTGTGGGGAAGCCAACCCACCTGCCTTCCATCTCCCTGCAGGGCCCAGGGGACCCTCCTACCATCCGGGTGGCTACAGGTGGTGACTCAGCTGAAGGCTGGATGGGGTGGGGGGAGGGAGGAAGGAAGGACTTCCAGAAGAATATTCCCCTGAGGGGACCCAAAGGAGTAGGGGAGGAGAGGGGGGGCTGCCCTCTGGAGGAACTCTACCCCTGCCCAATGCTAGGCTGTAGGTTTCCCAGGATGATGGGAACATGAGTGCATGTGGGTAAAATCCTGTCCTTCCCGGTATGACCTCTCCCCATCTTGGCCTTACTGCAGACAAGGATGAGGGTGACCACCCCAACAACAGCTTCAGCCCTTGCAGTGCCCATGACCGCAGGTGCCTGCAGAAGCACTTCGCCAAAATGAGGGACCGGAACACCAACGGGGGCAAGATGAAGATTATTGGGCATCCCCGGGAAGACATCCGGCCTGTGGTGAGGACCTTTGACCCTTGCAAACACACAGGCAGGTGTGCGCTCTCTCTCTCCCTCTCCGTCTCCCACATCCTACCAGACCCAGAGAGAGTGCCTACAGCAAACATTCCTTGGATGCCTCCTTGTGTAAATGCATATAGTATAGTATAGTCTACTGAGGGAGACTGCGAGAGTCTTCATTCCTTTGCAGGGGACTTTTCCCTCCTGCTTCTCAGCGGTGTACATGAGTGCAGCTGAACCAGTTCTGCCACCGAGTCAATGCCAACTCACAGTGACCCTACAGGACAGAGTAGAACTGCCCCGTGGGCTTCTGAGACTGTCAACTCATTACCCCGGAGTGCAGAACCCCATCTTTTCTCTCACTTTCCCCACAAGGCCCATCCCTGTGTGCCTTTCTCTTTTCTGGAAGCGCCTAGACTCAAGGCCCTCCATCTGCCCTTCCAGCCAGTGCCCCTACTTCCAGGCCCCGTTCCTTCTTTCAGGACCTCCAGCCCCCATTTAGCACGGACTGCTTGGTCTGGAACCTTCTGCAACTCCCTTCTGAATCCTTCCATCTTCTTCCTAAGCCCCAGGGCTCCTGCCAGAGCGAGCTGCACCGGGCCCTGGAGCGGCTGGCTGCTTCGCCGAGCCGCACCCACGAGGACCTCTACAACATCCCCATCCCCAACTGTGACCGCAATGGCAACTTTCACCCCAAACAGGTAGGTCTCACTCCTATGCTGGCTCCATCCTGGCCGCAACTCCAGGGAGATTCCTGGCTTCTCTACTGGATGAGCTAGGACGAGGCTCTCAGGAGGGGAACCCAACCCAACTCAACCGCATCCCTTGAACCCTCCCACGCCCTACTCTCGCCTCAGAACCTAGGTTTGTCTTATTCATCTCCTTCATTGCACAGGCTGCTCAGGCCCAGAGAGGGGTAAAGTCTGGCTCAAAGGCATAGAGCAGTGGTTCTCAACCTTCCTCATGCCACAACCCTTTCATACAGTTCCTCATGTTGTGGTGACCCACCAACCATAAGATTATTTTCGTTGCTACTTCAGAACTCTCAATTTGCTACTGTTATGAAGCAGGCGACCCCTGTGAAACGGTCATTCAATACCCCCCCACACACCAAAAGGGGTCGCCACCCACAGGTTGAGAACTGCTGGGATAGAGTGAGTTAATGGTAGGCCTGGGGTTAGAACTTGTTTTCCAGCCTCTCCATCAGTGTTATTTCCAACACCTCTGGAATCACCATGTATGGAGGAGACCTTAGGACCTCGGCCCCTTCAGGGCTCCCCAATACCCACTCACTTACCATATTCCATTCTTATGAACAGTCCTCCTTATCGCGGATTAGCTGAGGTTTTACGGGGAGCAGAGGGGCCATGTCATGAGAAATCCGAGAGGGGTCTTGGCCTCCCCTTCTCCCAGGCTGAGTAAGGATGAAGGTGAGGCCAGATGCAGCGTTGGAGACAGGAACTTAGGGTGGGAGACATGAAGCCAGTTCTGCCCCTGCTCACTCAGCCCCTGGGTCTACTGTCCTCTCTGATGGCCCCAAGGAGGCTGGGACACTCAACAAGATTGGCCTGTCCCATTCCTGACTCTAGCCCATCCACTGGGCTGCGTCCCCTTGAAAGGCTGGTACGTTTGGGCAAGATTCTGAGGTGCCCTATGCAGGATGGGTTCTGGGAAGCCCCGTGCCAGGTGCCCTTCTCTAGATCTTTGTGGACCTAGATCCATACTGATCCTTCTGTGTCCTACGGCCAAATGCACAGGGGAACCGTCTCTGAGCTCCTTGGGAGGGGAAAGGCTGCTTTGGGGGCTATACATCTCAGGTTGGCATGAGAAGGGAGTGGGGGAAGTCGCAGGAAGACCAGAGAGAGCCCCAGCCCCAAACCAATGCTGAGCCTATCTCCAACCTTTCTGAACAATAATTCTATGCTTGTCCCAGTGAAAGACCTGACACTTGACCCTTTATCCCATGACCCTTGGCCCCAGCCATCACCTCAACTCTAATTTGGTTCTATAATTTCACAGTGGCCCCGCCATCATAGAATCCCAACCAAAACCCCAAGTGGGGTCTAACCAGGTCCGTTGTTCCGACTTGACCTCTTGCCCTGCCTGCCTTTGTGACCTAGGCTCTACTCCTTACCCAACTTCAATTTTAGTCATGATTCTTAATCCACTGCAACTCTGATCCTGATCCTAACATCAACCTCAACTTGGATTCTGCTCCTGACAATACTTCCACTTTAAGTTGCTCCACCTTGAACATTAGTCTTTCAAACTTAGCTGCAGCTTTGAACCCCAGGGATCCAGTCTCCCCTCCTGGGTCTTCTCTCCTTGACCACGTTCTTCTCCATCCAATGAGCTCAGGGGACCCATGCTCAAGAAGGAGCCTCGCAACTAACGATCTGCCTTGGGAGTTGGGCCGGGTTTGGGCAGGCTGTTTGGGATCTCTCTTGTTCGACCTGGAAACTGACCACAAATGCTTTTGTCTTGATAGTGCCACCCGGCCCTGGATGGGCAGCGCGGCAAGTGCTGGTGTGTGGACCGGAAGACGGGAGTGAAGCTTCCGGGGGGCCTGGAGCTGAAGGGG